CCCAGCTGCCAGGGGGTCGCTGCCTGAGCTGCAGGGCTCTGCTGCAGGGGGCCTGTGCATGGCCCCAGCGAGCTCGTACCCTCACCCTGGACAATTCTGTACTTGCTTCTGAGAAGGAACAAGGGAAAGTGTCAGGAGCTGGCTCCCTGGCCTCCCACCTCCCTGTGGTCAGCACAGCTTCCACCTCTGAACAGCAGCACTGGTCACCTCCGAGGGGAACGGGGTACATGGAGAAGCTGTTTGTAGGATGCTTTTCAAAAACTAAAACATGGACCTTGCATCCACATTTCTAAAACTTGTTTTTAAAAACATCTGTGATTTTTAATGCCCTAGCTGATTCAGTTAGAAACAGGTGTCTATGGTGTAATTTATGCTACAGAGGAATACTCACCATGCTGCTGGACCCTGTCTCACTGGGCCTTCTCACAGGTGGAGACCAGTCACTGCCTGGATATTCCTTCTGTCTTTCAGAACCTAAAAGAATCATCATACATGTCTGTGTCTAGACGTGTGTGTATATATATATTTTTTTTAAAAAAAATCTGGCTAGCAAATGCAACTAGATTTTTCAATGCTCAGTCCAAAAGAAATGCTCCTGCAGAAGATGTGCCCTCATTAAGGTGAGCTCCCATTGAGCCCCAATGAACTCTGTATCGAAAGCTTGGCTTGGATTAATGTCTGCAGGATTAGCCTCTACAGTGCATCCATCAAAGCTGAAACAGAATATAAATACTGCAAATTTAAACAGGGCAGGGGGGTAAAATTCAAAGCAGCAAATGCATTTTGAGCTCTTGACCTCTGTTGATCTTGGCATTGTATAGGACCTACTGTCACTGTGCTCTCGCTCCTCATGAATCATGGCTTGAAGTCCTCTCAGATGGCCATTCCAGCTGTCCTCATTCCTCATGGGAAAGTGAGCTCTGCCCACACCTCTCCTTTGTCTAACCTGCCTTCAAACCTTCCAAATTCCACAAGCAATTCACAGCCTGGGCCCTGCTGTGCATCAGAAAGCTGAACATAATCTTACAGGAGAACCGTTTTTCCCTTCTGAAGTCAAAGGGAGTTTTATCTCCAAGCTCAACCTGTGCAATTCCTCCCCAAAGGGCTGAGCTGCTTGGACAAACTAAAAGGAACTTCCATGCCAATAATTTGGTGCTTACAGTCAGTGTGGGAAAAGGTAACAGAAACGGAAGCTCCACATGGTCATAAGGCCATGAAATTACTGACTTGGCAGATGAACTTCTTGATTTCTGTTGCAGGCATCTTTAAATGGAATGCTTTTATCTCTCCTTATCTCTGAGCACATGCCTTCCTTTTCCTGATCTCTTTGAAGAAAAAAAAAAAAAAACACCACTTTTCTCTTGATGTTTAGTTCCAAATACAGGCTCTGGTAATCAGCTAAGGATACTCCTTCAGCCTGCTCCTGCTCTTGTATTTACATCATGTGAGAGTTCCTCCAAAGAGACTGTTGGGTGGAATGAGTCTGAATTCACAGCTAAAACTGAGCAGAGAGAAATGAACTATGTCTTTACCCACCAAGGCTGAACTGACATATTTCCCATCTCCTCCATTAATAAAAACCCATTGTGAGCATTGCCACAGTTCTTGCCTGCTTCTGACAAACCTGGGATCCCTCTGGGGGACAGTTCTGGGCTTGGGGGCTGAGTTTTGTTTTGTGGCCCTGTGCCTGGTTTGGTACCAGCACAGCTAGCAGTAATGCAGGGGTTAAATTCCCTTTCCAGGAGAGGCTCCCATCTGATAAGGGACACTGCAGACTGGACCCACACCTTTGTGCACAAAAACAGGACATTCCAAAGCTCTGCCGTAAAGGTTCTTTCATTGTTTTTTAACCCATGGAGAATTTAGTGCACTAATATAACCTATAGTTGAGTGAATTCATGCTCACTAGAGGAAAACAAAATTTTTAACAAATCTACAAAATTTTGCTTTGTCATGCATCTGGTCTACACAGAAAGCTTCCCAGATGTCAGCACCGTATGTGCTTATTTTACCTCTGCACTCAAGAAGAGGTGGCTGGGCAGTTGCAGGAAGCCTGCAGCATTGCAGGGAGCCCGTCACACTCCAGGCTGACTAAGGGCATTGAAATGCTCGTTCTGTTTTAAGACTGTCCTGTGTCTAGTTTGAGTCCTTGTGGGGGAAAAAAAAACATACTCGGCACTTCCTAAAGATGATTCTCTCTTGTAAGGTCTGTCAAAGACAGATACCTGAAACCACCTATGAATGTAAGCATCTGAATCCTACCATCTTTGCCTTTCAGTGGACTCTGCAGCTTTATGGTACATTATGGTGTGACATGCACAGACTTATGCAAGCAGGATAACCAAATATAGCAGGTACTTGTAGAGGCAACAAAAGCCCTGTAACCACCGTGTCCTGTCCGTCCACCCTGCAATAGCCTTGGCTGTGTTTCTCTTACAATGTTTATGTCAGATTAGGAACCTGAGGCACACACAGAACAAGCAAATAGGAGAGCGTTGGCTTTTTCATTCCAGATAAGACAGTGCAGGAAACAGGAACAATCCCAGCAGGAAAACAACAGGATACAGACCAGCAGTTCTCAAACTTGACTCCCGCCCCTTGCCCTGCGTGGATCCTGCGCTCTGGCTCAGCTGAGAACCTCTCACTGGGGGTGGGGGGCCGGGGGCCAGCCCCAGCCCTGACACCCCCGCTCGGGAGGGGGCAGGTTGCCAGAGGGCTGCAGGAGCAGGGACAGGGGCAGGACCCTGAGCGGGGAGTGGAGTCTGTGGTGGGACAGAACTGTGCTTAAAACCATCTGCCTGCAAGACGGGAGTGGGAAGTGGAGCAGAAGTAGCTCATGGCTGCCAAAAACCATTGAGCTTGTCCCACCACTTCTCAGCAAGGGCCTTTGGGGTGGATTAATCATTTCCCAGCACATCGTTTTTCCTGTTCTCTGCAATGTTTGTTTCTCTCCTCCCCCTCCCCTGTACAAGAGCCTTCTCAGCACCTCTTCAGCTCTTTTCCTGTCTCTCTATGTCCTTCCACCAGCCTGACTCGCAGAAATACGATTCCCAGGATACATTCTGGACTTGCTACAGAGCAGCATTCCTCCATTTTGAGAGATGCTCCCAGAAAATAACAGCCAGCGTATCTGATGGAGGGCAGGCTCTGATTGCATGCACCAGCTCTGAGCGAGGGAGGAGAGGCTGCTGTTAAACATTAGCCTACAGCACCACATTCCTTAAACAAGAGCGGGTTTGTTCAAAGGATCAGACGCAATTTTTTCCATGAATCCTAATTATCTCTTCTTTTGAGGGTCTGCGTTACAGAGCCGCTGTCCTTGTAACGTAACTGCGAGCTCTAAATCAAGTCTTCTTGAAAGAGCTAATAAAAGCCACAGCCAGCTGGCAGAGGATCGCCGGGGCCAATAGACAGCAACCAACCCTCCAAACAGCTGTAGTATAGGAAAAAATTAATTTGAAACCATGAACTTCTATAAATAGGACCCAATCCATTATTTGCCCAGGAAGAAGTGGGAGAGCTAAAAGCAGCCAATCTGTTACTTGGGCAGAAAATGTCTCCGTGTTGATGCCAATCCTGTTTGTGCCCGTGCTCACGCTGCGGTTCGTGGCAGCTCCACGGGTGGGGTTTGTGCCGTGAGGGACAGTGGGGCATTGCCCTCCCTAGCCATCCTATCTGCAGGCTGCTGTGCTCTTCCAGGGGTTTTTTATTGCCAGTCCTGCACTGTGGATGACTACAGAACTGTACCAGCGTGGAACTGTGGGAAGTTATTTTGTTCCCCAGCAGCCGTTTGTATTAAAATTATCTTCTTGGGCTTAATTAACGGGAGATGTCTGGTGGCAAGAAGGCACTTGCAGGAGTGATCACCGCGCTGTTAATTGCTGCTCGCTGTTCATGCTGGTTCTCATGAAGCACAAGCTTCTCCAGCCAGGGGGAACATCTTAGGCTCCTCCACAAAAGTCACTCTGGATCACTCTGGATCCTCGCAGCCTCGCGGGTGTGACTGCGGCAGGCTCCAAAGGGAGCCGGGGGCGGGGTAGAGCTGGGACTCGTGGCCGTTCCCGTTTTCTCGGGCCCGGGCTGCGCCCCGGTGCTCGGCCCCGGCAGAGGGTGCTC